TGCTTTTCAGAGAAGTGTGAGGGAGGGTATTTATTTATATCCAGCAGTGACAGGAACAAAAAAACCATATATTTTACCCAGAGTCTGATTCCTGAAGAGGCCCATAATGGTAAAAATAGGATAATTGTAAAATAATAGCTCACGGTGTTCTCACATTTTTTTTCCATGCTGCTAAAAGCAATTCACTCAATCAGCAGTTGGCTATCTCCTAAATTCCCTCCTTCATCTCTGTATTCCACTTAGGGAGTAGCAAATATAGGGCACTCAGCTCATGACTTTTGGTTTTCTCAAGCAAGAAAATTCTTACAAAGATTAAATAAGCCCCTGGTTTAATGGCCATCAACTGAGCACAATAGCTATGCTGGGAACAAGAGATCTTAGAAAAATTCCCTCCATGACTATAGGGCTGATTGTCTCATATTAAACGATTGTGGCATGATTCCAAATGCAGAAAAGCCAACTCCTTCAGGATGGTTTCTTCTGTATTTCAGCTAATCTTCCCAGGCTATGAACTAGTCAGTAATAAACCAATTAGCAGAGGGGCTTCCAGGGTGGAACACCCCACTTCTCAAAACTTGGATCCTCACCATCACACAAACTAATCTCATCCTAAACAAAGGCACGCATTCACATGCCCAGTGCTAATTTCCAGAAAGCTTTAGCATGGACATTCTGAAAAAGCGGTTGTCTTCCATCTGCAGATTCTTTTTTCAGCTGTTCCTCATAATCAGTTGGCTTCCCAACGCCCTTATTGATCACAGTCAATATTTCTACAGTACAATCTATGAGGTTGCTTTAACCTGGCATGAGTCTGGATGTTGTCTGCTTTTTCCACGGCCTCCTCAGTAAAAGGTCATTCTTCCCAGAATATGCCATGATGATCTGGACTGAATGTGATTCAAGACTCACTAATAGTCTCAAAAACAAACGAGACTCGTCAAAAAGGAATTAGATCTTGCATTTTTTTTTTTTTTTTTTTTTTTTTTAAATACAACCAGCAGACACATCTGCTAAATCTAGGCAAAAGTTTGGGTTTATGATGCAAAAACCTGCTCGCAATTACAGAGAACATACCCTGTATAGCTGACATCTCCTTTGCCTCTCTCCTCAAGTATCCTGCCACCTGGGCACTTTCAACTTTCTGGAGCACAGTTTTCTCTCACTGAAATAACTTGAATTCTACTCAGTCCTTCTGAATTTTCTATGGACTAGATATTCATCCCCTCCTCTCAAATAATTCTGTGATGCTATTATACACAATAAGCGTGTTGTGCTCCATCTCATAGGCACCTGAGCCTTTGAGGATTAGGAAAAGGTGCAAGGTAAATGTTATATGTTATTACTACTTTAATTAGTTGTCCATCTACTAACAGCTCACTGAGAGCAGGAATTTAAAACTGGGTTCTACCAGCTTCCTGCTGCAAACCAGCTTTCTCCTGCCAGAAACATCAAGAGGAAATGGGAGACAAGGGAGGACTCTCTGACCACATGGCAAACATTAGTGCAGAGAAGAAAGGGCCCCTTCAGAACCAACATCCTGGTTTTGTGAATCCCCAGTGTTTCATCTCTCAACCTATCACCTCATTCTTCAGAGGACCCAACATCTGAAACGTGTCCAGAATGAGAAAAGGAGGGAGTCAAGTCATTCTTCCACCAACATCTCCAACACTGACATGCTAGAGCTGTGAACAATTTGCCTTTTCCTTCTCCATCCTTCATGACAAGTCCACCAAAACAAGAATTATTTCTGGGAAGCCGCTGAAAAAGATTGTGCCAATGGAGTAAAAGCTCTGAATGGAGCATTGGCCAACAGTCCCAGAAATACCATCTGACCAGGCTGACATGAATTTCATTCAACCTAGCTGAATTTACCCATAATTTGCAAACATTCTCAATTCATGAATCAGAAATGTTTCAGAAGTGATTATTGCTGCATTACATCATCTTCTAAGAACAGCATCGCACTACAGCTGCTTGCTACGCCTGAAAGTATTTTATGGATACCATCCACAAGTCAAGGAAAGGTATATTCTGCCAGGACCCACCAATTGTTAACATGCTGCGAGAGCTAAACGTAAGCTGAAATGAGGTCTGATTTACCCTTCACCTCCTATGAGTTATGCTTCCATCTGCTTAACACTCCAAGTGGAAGGAGCTTGGCATACTTCTTGAAATAGTTAATTTGAGCTCCCATTCCCAAATCCATCCTTTCCAATTTGGCACAGTGGGAAGATTATCTACAGAGCTGGGATACGAGTTGCTGCAAATCAGGATTCAGGTGCTTGGCAGGTATTTGCATTCAAATTTCAGATAACACCTGGCTGTGTTGTCCTGCCTGTAGCTTGCATGATGATTCTCTATCTACTGCACTTTCAAGAGATGCAAAAATGCAGATGCTTAGATAACAACCATACAGCAGATTTACAGAAGCCACTGGGTCTTGAGACACTGTGGGAAGCACTGAGGCAACTTAGTCTCATGCTGTGGTGAGGAGGTGATCAGCAACTCAGCCTGCACTATCTCCCTTCTGATACTCCTGAACAGTCTGAATTTCTGCTGTCTTTGCCAAATTAAACATACCAGGTTTTCAGGATTTTGCTTTAAACTGTCATGTGACTTGTATGCCTTTTTGAGGTTTAGCTACCTAAACCCCTTCGGCAATTTTTCTATCAAAGGTTCTAAAACTTCTGGAGACAATATCCAAATTATGCATATATTTACAATTACATACAATTCTGGTGTTATTCAGCTGCAAATCTGTAGCCAAGAGTGGAAACTCCCTGAAATAGATTTAAATATTAAAAAAAAACAACAAATAAACAACAAACACTAACTTCATTCAATCATATGGGACCTGTAGCATCTCAAGTTGCCTTTTCTCCACCTCATCCTCCTGCTTTTGGGTCTGTTCCTTGTGGATAGATGCACATGGGCCACTGCTCAATCTTCATACCTCTGCCCATCTGTTTAGGCTGCCATTAATGTCACATAAGGGACTAGCTGGAAGAGATGTGCTCTAAGCGGAGCCAGAACATCCCCCTTTTCCACAGCAAAGCATACCATACTGCCAGCACATCTGCTCCCCACCAAGCCAGCAAGCTTCAAGGTTATTTTGGGACCTGCATTTACACTAAATGCTAACACAGAGCACCAGCAGAAGAATGTGCATGAAGGAATGTCTAACTGTAACCTGCAGTTTCAGGCACCAGCCAGAACAAGGGCAGCTAAACCCACTAAGGAGAATGCACTCATGTTTTCAAGGATATAAGAGAGGCCACAAGGTAATGGCTCTTGATAGAATGAAGTGGAGAAAGCAGGCATGGCAAAACACCCTTAAAGAAGGGCTTGAGGATGATGGGGACTGCTGTGCAGCCTGATAAGAGATAGTTAAGGGCTGAAGCTGAGGATTAACTAAAAGATACGGGTGAAGGGGGAAAATGAGACTTCAGAGGAGAGCAACCCCCTTCTTGCATGCAGGGGAACACCTGGACAGCACACTTGTCCACTCAGGTGGAAGGAGCCCCAAGATGTCCTGCCCACACAGGGGCCAAAGGAGCAGGGACCACCATCCCTGCTGGGTGTTTGGCTTCTGGTTGCGAAGGAAACCATGCTCCCCATTTACACTCCATCAAGAAAAGAATCTCTCCAGCCTGAGTACTGGACGCATAGCATAGTGAAATCTGGGTCTGCTCATGCTTTAACAACACTCCTCCAACTCACCCATCTCAACACAGATATTTTAGGTATAATAGGTGTACCAGAACCACAAACTCTCTCCCAGCCTTGCCCTGGGGATGTATTTGAGTGCAAGATCTGAGCTGTACCTGCTTGCATGGTCAGCACCTGGCAAGGAGTGGCAGACTGCTCTAGAGATGAGATAAGAGGGGAGACATCAGAAAGCCATTGCTGCCCATATTGAACAGTTTCTCTGAACAGAAACACAAGAACTGGGGGAGTTTAAGCAACAGGAAGCTTTGACCCCCTCCTCCCAGAGCAGCAGCACAGCATTCCCTGAAGTTCATTCTCTTCTTTTCGTGCCTAGAGGAGTGTTCACAGGCTCTAAAGCACATCTGCTCATTTTTGTAACTGTGTTAACTACTCCAGCAAGAACACAGTACTCCCTCCACAAAAACCTTGCCTCGTTTATGGCCTTATATCCATCCCAGCAACAACATCACTACTAGAATTATTCATTTGATTGAGAATTCAAGACTGCACTTAAGTAAAGAAATTAATGAAAACCCTGAAACACGAGGACTTAAACTCTAGGAAAGTTCGAGTCTCAGGTCCTTCTGAAGACCTTCATTACCACATCATGATAGCATCACCAAGAAAGGCAAATATAAATGAAGATACATAAGGAATGATGATGATGATAATAATAATAAGGTCATTTAGGATCCATCAGCAGCCTTTCACATGGTACAAGTTTCCCAGGTGGTTATATCCCCTGGCTAAGACCCTCTCTGCTGCGCAGGGCTGGAGGCATTGCCTGGCCAGGATGCAGCCCTCAGATGGAAGCTGAGGTGCTCACAGCTCCAGTTACAGCTCTCCCCTAGCCCTGCTCCCCCATGGGCAGCTATGGTTTTCGGACAAGTGGTATCTTGACATCAAGTTGAAACCACACACAGAAAATAAGTGCTTTCTGCTGTTACTTGAGCAGATACTGATACACCTGTTTTCACCCCAGTAAAAACATTTCAACTATAAAATTGCTATAGCCATCTGTGAAGCCAACACAACTAGCACTTCCCAAACAGCTTCAAGAACTGGGTTAGAAACTGTATAAAACTTTGGTTTGCATACATAAATGATTCTGTTGGACTTAGTCCGTAAATCAAAGTCTGATTAGACCATAATAACTAGACTATCCAGCCACAGATAGAATCATAAAATCCTTAGAGTTGGAAGGGACAAGACCTTTAAAGGTCATCTAGTCCAACTCCCCTGCAATGAACAGGGGACATGCACAGCCTGATCACCTGCTGGCCACGCTTCTTTCGATCACAGGATACAGTTGGCTTTCTGGGCTGAAATAGTGATAGACAGTGATTTACATGTTCATGGACATGAAAATAAATGCTAAGACTTTACTCAAATAAACTTCGGCTTCTATATATTTAAAATTCAGATCCCCAGCTAAATAAAACATTTATCTAGCATGAATTTATATCCAGTTTACTGTCTGAATGGCCTTTCTGTCCATTGCCTGAACAGAAATATACCTTCTGTTTGAAAACAAGAAGCATATTCCAAGAACATACAGGTCACAATTCTATTTAGATCATAACACTACATGAATATTTTCTGTTTGTTTCCACTGGAGAAAGTGTTGCTTTTTTTTTTTCCTGCCAGTCTTCACACTCACATATTGAATGGCTTACAAAAGCATTACAGCTGCTGATTGACTAAGTTACACACAGCAACTATTTCCTAAAATACCTTATGTTTTTAATACTTTTCACTTCCAGTTGGTTGTCTATCACAAAGATAGACTTTTGGGGCAAGGAACATCTTTTATATCCACACAGAACCAAAACAAATAGAGGTTGAAGGTGGTGGATTCAGCAGGCTGTACTGCTACACAAACAGCTTACAGGATAAGCCCCTACTAGCTTTCACTTACAAAAAAACAGCCATGTCAGACTAACAGCTGTCAATCAGTGTCTCCATCCAGGGAAGAATTGTGAGATTTCACCAATTTTCACCCATTTTCATTAGCTTTTTGTTTTTGTTTCTTAGGTTGCTTTAAATGTAAGAAGCAACTGAAAGATGTAGAGGAATGCTGCTAAATCATTCTCACAGAACAAGCACCCTGTGGCAGCAAACTAGGTAAGGCCAGAATGGTTTCCCAGTAAGCACTGTGGGTACAGCAAAGCCACCACGCTCAACAGGAAAACAAGCAGACAAAACCTAAGACGTCTCCTGCATCCTGCACTTGTGAACTGTCACAGGGGAGGTCAGGTCATCCTGTGGCAGATAGTGTGCCAATAATTCCTATTAAATTCCGGTGGAAAAACTTAACATCCGGAGAAAAAAAAAAATTGCTTCCTTCAGCTATTGTTTCCTTGCCAAAGATCATTTCTTCTACTAAAAGAAAGGGGAAGAATAATGAAAGAAAGAGAGACGGGGGTGAATAATGCACCATGACTAATAGCCGTGGTCTGACCAGTCTGAAACAGCTTCAAGTACCCGTGACCTTTTGAAGAGCCACTAGTCAGACGCTAACAAAAACGCGTAACGCAAGCTCTTGCACCCCCTTCCTTTTATCAAATGGGCGTCAGGATGAATAAGCTGACAAAAACAACATGGAAGTAATCTGCTGAGTAATTCCACTAATATTCCACCGTGGGCTGGCTCTGAGAGTTTGATGCACACAGCTACGGAGGCACTGCGCTGACTCTGTTGCAGATGACAGTTTCTCATTAATCACACGGAAACATTACGTGTTGTTCCCCAGCTCACACGAACGTTCTCTGGGAACAGCACTCAAGCCATCAGCAAGTCACTGCGCCCTCCTGCAGATCTCCTTATGTGGAAAGCTTTCACACAACTGCTCCACGCATCGCACACCCCTGCGCTCAGCCCGTGGAACTTCACTCAGCACATGTGTTCCCCACACTCTTGAAAGGTCTTCGGTATGAGTTCTGCTCTCAGGAGATGGCACGCCAGTTAACTGCTTGGAGGTTGTTTCCTACAACTCTTCTGTCAATCAACTCAGATCCACCAAGGCTGCAATGTCATTAGAACCAGCTTGGCAAAAGCAAATAACAGAGCTAATAACAACAACAACAGTACCAGCCAACTCACATTAGTACATTTCAGCTACAAATTAAAAGAGTACTTCTTCAAGAAGGTCACTATCGCTGTACAGAGGGATCACGACTACCTTTCGACCTTCACCAGCAAGGAGAACGCTTAGCACCTTTTATATTGTTAGACCATGAAGACATACTCCTCTGAAGCAATGCATACTAATCATGTGCAAGTGCAGGTGAAGTGATTCCTGTTGTTAACAAACTTTGAGTCACTAATAGGCAGACAAACATCCATCATGTAGTTACATTATTACTGAAAGAGAGTGAATAATTCACAGGACAGTTCACTGCTTCAGTCTTTTTCAAGTCACAGAACGTATCTGTCCTTTTGTGTTTCATACATTTTTATTCTAAAATCACTGTTAACAGGCTGAGTTTGACCTATAGACATCTAGATTAAGTGACCAGGATTGCCCTATACATTATTTTATTTCCTGAGTAGTCACATTCACAGTTCTGGTTCAAATACTGAAACTCACTGAAACATTCCTTGAAGCAACAAATGTCAGAAAGTAGTATGATCCACTCTATAAAGAAGTAGGAACAGACCACTGGTTGCATTTTAAGTGCACACTGTTAAATCCTCAAATGATTGCATGGCCAGAAAAAAAAATGCACACCATTAACTATAATGAATTACTAGAGATAACTCAATAAAGCTTACTGGAAAGTGCTCAGAACTCCCAACTAAATCATCTGCTAGCTGTAGAAATCAAATGGCATTTACTTAGATGCTTAAATATTGTTTAGCCAGCAGTCAAATCGAGAACATAAGTCTGCCTCGGGTGAAAAGCCTGGCCTAAAGCAAGAGCTGTGACATGACAGCCACCCAAGCCTTCGGGGAAAGTCTACTAGAGCATCCCAAGTCCATGCCTAGCATGTGTTTAGAGAAGGCTGAACCCTAAAATCCAGAGATGACTGCTGGAACATAACAGAAATGCTAATTCAAATTTCAACCTGCTCCCGTCTAGAGGAAAACCTGTTTAAACCTGTGAGCGAAACTCATGATTGTAAAAGAATGAAAAGGCTCCATGTGAAATTCACACAGCTACGGAACTGATTATAAAGCAGTAAAGCAGACCTCTAAGTCATGGTCTGAGCAGTGAATATCAGAAGCCAAGACCAGTCCTGTTCTTAGGAAAACTCAAGCAGCAAGCATACCTAAAAAACATGATGACAGAGTAACAAACAGAGGACCTTATCAATGCCAAACAAGAAGCCGTGAACAAGAACAAAAGAGAGATGGGGAAATAAATATCTTAGAAGGGCTCTGACAATTCCAGTGATGAGAGGTGACAGGAAAGATTTTGAAGACAGAAGTAAACAGAGTGGAAGTCACAAACAGGAGAGCTGACAGCCAGAAACTGTTTGGATTTTAAATGAGCTCAGTGGACAGAGAAGGGGAAAGATCATTGAACTGTTACCCATGAATGACAAGGATGGAAGTGGAGCACTGTGAAAAGGAAGACATCCAGCATATTTGGCAGCAATAGCTTCAAGGAGGGTCTTGAACGGGGACATAGTGGCAACTGATGCTGCTTAGTCTCTGACATGTATCAAAGAAGAGGGAGATGGAGATAAGTGGAAAAGCATCCAACCTAGAAGGAGAGTTGAAGAAGAGAGAAGCACCAGAAAATTCAACACAGACAAGAGAAGAAAAGCCCTTGGGCATGTGCAGAATTGCTGATGAAGTGTTTACTGATGAGCGGTGAGAGAATTTCATCACGTCAGCTCAGCAAGCTGAGAAAAGCACCTCACAACCGAAAAAGGGCAGAAACAGTCCCTCAGACAAAGTCAGCAAAAGAGCAAAGATAGCATTCTAGAGATAGCATTTATAGTACAGTGTGGAGGAAGCTGAGGGGGAACGTTACAGCAGAGTCCATGGGAGATATGAATCCAACTCCTTTTTTTCTGATCTGTCAAAGATGTTTCTTCTCCCACCTACCCAAAGAAAAAGATCACCTTCCAAGTTTAAAATTAAGTTTCTAAAGGTTTGGAAAGGACATATTGGATCTAAGGAGTAAAAAAGACCTAATGAAACCTGTGGTCAGCCTCATTTACCTGTGGAAGGGCAGGAGGTTTTCAACACCATTAGTAAACCAGGAAGGGCAGCAAGGAGGGAAGAGGCTCTCCAACAAGAATCCACACTTTCCAGCAGAGTGCCTACATCCGCAGACATGGCCGACATTACTTCACCAGGAAGATCCATGGGCAGCCAACAAGGTAAGATGTCTATAAACAAAATCATGCTAATGCCCACGTTGACACACCTAATTGTGCCACGTGAGCTGCACAGCTGCTACAGTTAATAAAGGCATCTTCCTTCCTGATGAACCTGCTGAACTCCAACAGGATGCTCACCATTGGGCAGCAGCAATCTCTAACCTGATGCAATAGATTCAGCTCCTGAGAAGAGGACTTGCTGAACAGCGACACAAAGTGCTGCATCCTCCTCCCTTCCATGGACAAACCACACTACACTGAGCTAGAGAGAGAAGACACCTTTCCGATATAATGAAGCCTCTCAGCCTTATACAGATTAAGCTCCCTGTAAGAGGAGCACTGGAAAAAGCAAGGTAGCATTGTATTGTACTAATGTCACTTAATGGTAACTGTGAGTGATTGCAATGCAATAAATATGGAGAGGAAATTACTGTAATTGATTGACAGTCTGGAAGCTTCCACATTCTATCTAATGAGAGAGACCTGCGAGAAGCTGCTGCAGTAGAGGCTATTAATGCAAATCATATGCACCATGCCTGCTCTCTGAATTATGCAATGCCATGTGAATGTCTAATCCATTTCACCAGGCTTGTCTCTATCGAGAAAGAATATTCCACTGACATGCTGATTAGTATATTAGGAGAGTTTCAGAAGTTCAGTGGTAAAGCAGGTGCCATTGCAGCGTCATTAATTTAGTTCAGAGCAAAACAAACAGGTCTGTATGGCCATCAAAATCACTGCATAAGTCTACAAGATAAGTTTGCCACAGCTGATGGGAATTTGCAGGAATGCCTTGTGATATGTGGTAGGAGTTAACAGATAAGGAAGGTATCGCTCTTCTAGGGAACAATAACAGAGGACTTGAGAATTGAAGACAAGGAATAATGCTTGATATAGCTCCGTGATATTATACATGGCTTTCCAGAAAGAACACTGTGATAACAAATGGACAGGAAATTTAGAAATTTAGTTGGCATATTCATATTGCAGCAGTACCACAGACACTAAGCAGCATAAAAAGATGTAGGGAGATGGTGCCTGTCCCAAGCTTTCTGGGCTAATACCATTGTACTTTGCCTCTAAAAATGTATATTCTGATCAAATACCATTTAGATCTGTGATGAAAATGATTTTGAAGGAGTAATCCTGGTCCCCGGGGAGCACTTGTCCTTCATGCAAAGCTATAACACAATTAGCAAGCACCACAGTGTCTGTTAAAGAGAAGCACAGACCTGGACCACAGGAGACCTCACACAGTTTCAGATTAAGGGGATGTGACGAAAGCTCACAAAATGCTTCCTGTGCTTGCACTGGTTGTCTCTCTCATTTCCACAGAAGTAAAAATCATTCAACTTTAACAAGAAACTCAGAGAAGGCACTGTAACTCTTTACAGTATTCCTCACACTTTTCTTCAAATTGCTATTTTACAGACCTGGATCCTAAATAATACACCTGAATGCCTTGTGTCATTTGCCACCTAAAATGAACACTTACAGCAATCATTTTGCCTCAATAATCCTTGTGTTTAAAGGTCACAAGCTAGCCACATCAAGAAAAAAAAGCAGAGGGACAACTAAGTTGGTAACAGAAGTAAAAAATGCCTAAAGAATAGCTTTGTAATGAGATTGATTTTACTCTTCTCTCCTTATGCCAGCAGAGACCCAGTCCCCATGGGATACCTCATCCTTTTACACCTGCCCAGCATCCTGTGAGAAATGAGAAGGTCTGAAATAGAGCAACCACATGGACTGGAGGGCTTAGGGCAACGCTTTGTTTCCAGGTCAGCCAGCACTGAAGCCACTGGTCTTTACTCGTGTAGAAGAAAAATCATAGAATCATAGAAAGGCCTGGGTTGAAAAGGACCAACTCCCTGCCATGGGCAGGGTCACCAATCACCAGACCAGGCTGCCCAGAGCCACATCCAGCCTGGCCTTGAATGCCTCCAGGGATGGGGCATCCACAGCCTCCTTTGGGCAACCTGTTCCAGCACGTCACCACCCTCTGAGTGAAAAACTTCCTCCTAATATCTAACCTAGATCTCCCCTATCTTAGTTTAAAACCATTCCCCCTTGTCTTATCGCTATCCACTCACGTAACAGTCATATCCCACCTGTTTATGTGCTCTCTTCAAGCCACAATAAGATCCCCCTGGAGCCTTCTCTTCTCCAAGCTTAACAAGCCAAGCCTGCTTCCCAGTCCTCCTGGATTAAGAGAGGTCCCAAGGCACCTTCACACCTCCTACAAGAAAAAAAAGAAGAACATGAGTTAGACACCATGCAGTAGATAGGATCCTCTCTGGTGATCCATGATGAATCTATGTTTTCCACTAGTTTGTCTGCAAGCACTTACAGCACTTGCTCAGAATGGAACATTTATTGTTAAGATATCATGGAGTTATTACTCGTTCAGTGAGTATACAAAACAGCCCCATTACAATCTAGGCTTTATGGCACCTAGATGTGCCTAGGGACAAACACTGAGAGCAGAACCAAAAGGATTTGGAAAATAAGTACATGAAAGGAGGCAGAGCTTGATAGTTGGCAAGTCAGTGCTGGGGAAGCAGAGGTCCATGTGTCCTTTTAACATTACTCTTGCAGGGAAAACATGCAGAAAGCCCCCAGCAGATTCAGACATTACTTTATCAGTGTTATTTATAGCATCACAACACAGAAGAGCCTCAGCCCCCATCAACTGGGCAAATGCAGCACAATGAAAGGGAGCTGCTCTCCAAAAAGACAAAAAAAAAAATTAAAAATCCACCCCAACAGCTCCTCAGCAGGCAACAATGATTTCAGAGAATAGAGACATGCAGGACTACAAGCTCTGGAGAAGCTGCTCCCATTTTCTTGTAGCTACACAACTCCTAGGGGGCCATGGGCACTCCAGGACCTGCATACCCCAAAGGGGCTGGGAACATCTACAGGGACATGACATATTTTGCTGTTTTCACTCTTTTTCTGCATTGTTCCACCTCAGAGACTGCTTACAGAAGGCAAGGAACGGGGGATGATTTGAAGAGACTTGCCTTATTAGCAAAAAGAATAAACTCCCCATGACAATTTCATCTTTTGAATTCACAACACAAATCCATCAGTGTTTCTCAGAGGGACTGAATTTGTCTGGGAGGGATGCGCAGTGCAGCTTGCTGCTGAGGAGGTGGGGCAGGGATGGGGAAGGGTTCTGCAAGAAGCAGAGGAGGCTTTGCTAGCCTTGGAGGAGTTATTTGCCACCCAGAGGCCAACACTTTCAGATTTTTGCAGAGATTGATGTTTTCAACATGTAGAAACACTCTGAGGAAAAAATATTTTGCATGTGTTCAGCTTCCAAGATTTCACTATTTTACTTGCAGAACAGCCCCATTACTTTCTGCACTCATTCAGCAGGAAGTTTACTTTTGGGCAGAACAGGCCTGAAATGACAAATCTCAATCCAGATTTCAATTGCTCCCAAAAGGCCAGTCCTCATGTGCCTGTGACTGCTGCACCAGTAGGAGCCAGCTATGCATTAACACCTCTCTGGCACTGGGGCAAGCGCAGCTTCTGCAGGAAAGCCAATGCTGTACCTTGAAGAACACCCCGCACAGCCCGGTAATGAAGGAAGACGGTATTAACATTCCAATCAAAACATCCAGGAGGAGAAAAAGGAGAACTGGTCCTTCCAGTGTCAACTCCAATTAGGGGAAAATAGAAGCCGCAGATGAGAAATAGGAAGCATCTGTATGTGAAAGCATGTTTAGCTTTGAAGCTGGTGTGGGAATATTGGCTTAGTCCTTACTTTCCCCAAGTGTTATGTCATCTCATGTGTAATGTTGACACTTACAAGGATTACTTATTAAATAATTCCTTTACAAACAACAGGGAATAATTCTGGCCTTTGATATAGACAGATTACGATCTCAGATGCTACTATTGAGATCTTATATTCATCCGAACAGGCTAAGCACATTAAGAATCAGGGAAGAAAAACACACGAATGCAAAATATGGAAAGTAAACCCAAGGACAGGAAAATCAAAAAAGCCGTGCTGAGCCACAGTTTTTAGTACCTGGGAAAGGGAAATTACTGAGAGATTAAATCAGACCACATCAGTCTTCAATTTAGTAAGAACTGTGTTCTAATCCAATCTGGGCAGAAGGCCTTAATTCATTTTTTTTTTCCTTCCTTGACTTTTTTTTTTTTTCTTAAACAGCATCCTATTTTGAAACTGAAAAAAAAAAAAATTAAAATTCCTAAAAGGAAGGTTTAAGAATAGCCTGCAGATGTCTAATTAACCTGCCACTGCCCTCTGGTCAGCTCCCAGTTACCCGCTGGTGCTTCATCCAGGTTGTGGCTGGAGTCTGGTACAAAGCAGAGGCTCCCAGGCCAGCTCTGTAGAGGTTCAGCACTGCACATACGCTACTCCTCCTAGTCCTGGAGCAATCCAGCCCGTTTCAGATTGCACAGAGCCAGAGTTCATAAGCTTTGCTAGTGCCTGCACCAGCTCTCTGCAGAGCTGGCCTGGATACTGTTGCTCCGCTTCAGAGCCTGGGCCCAGTCCTGCTCTGTTTCATGGGGATGCTGCAGGACTCCTATAAGATCTAACAGCAGGCTTGGAGATATCTCTGCCCAAACTCCTGAGAGGACAACAAGCAGCACCTTTTTCCATTTTTAATCTATCCTTTCACCAGGACTTTCTTTCCAACCACATCACGATGGGCATCCACTGGGACTTGGATGCTGGGGAGCGACTCCAAAATCTGAACTGAAAAAGCAACAGGGTTAATTTGTTTCTTCAAACTTCAAGTCCTTCCATGCACTTAAAGCAAATGAGGCATTAAAGCTGAGAAAATGCATGCAGGCCCCTGCGGCAGCACTTCCTCCGATCCTTGGGCAGCTTGAGAATGGTGAAGGCCTTTTCACCATGTCCCATATAGATGCTTGGCCTACTGCTCCAGCTAGCAGCACAGTATGGGACTATCCAGGGCAATGAGTGACCAACAGTTTAAAACTTTTCCATACATCTGAAAAACAAAGAGGCTTTTTCTCTCTGCACTGAAAAGTGTCAAGAGCAGAACTTCCATCACCAGAGCCCACTGCTTGGGCCCCACCGATGGCCTGACAGCAGACCTGCTTCATATCAGGGTGATACACAACCCTCACAAACCTTCCTTGAAACCTGTCACCAGAGGGAAGACCATCCCCTAAACCCCACCGTCCTTCCTGGCTGGTCAGAGCATGCTTCTGCTCTGTATTCTTCCAGTCACAGGAATGCAACTAAGGCAAAATGGCCCACCACTGGCTTCTCCCTGAGCTTGACAGAGAAGCTCATGCTTCTCATTGAAAGAAATGAAGCCAGAAACACTTTTTTTTTTTTTTTTTTTTTTTTAAAGGCAGCAATTTGAAAAACAAAGCAAGGAGAACTTTTTCCAGCCTAGAGAGTGGCACAGAGAAGAGAATAAAGACTAAATGACTGAAAGCCTGCAGAACATTTTATAAAACAGTTATTTTTCCCCCAAACAATGGTACTCTGTCCCTGACATGAATCAAAAATGTCACAAGGCAGTTTGGCGAGGCCGCATGTGAATGCTGGGTATTGAGCTGCAGCAGCTGCAGGCAGACTTTGTGGTTAACCCTGTGAGACTTTCACTGCTACAGCTGGCTTCCATTCTGACACTGTGTCCAAGCAGCCACTCCTTCCCACTGCTGCTCAATTGAATCGCTGCTTTATCAGCTCCTGTGCTTCACGTGCAAGCATCACAGCATCAGCTCAAAGGGACACACAGCAAGTTAGGTGATATCTCTGCACATGCCTCTGGGTCACTTGGAAGCCCTGCCTCCAGCATCAGACTGGGAGGTCTGCTGTCATTTCCTTGCAAACCATAACACTTTGGTTGCGCACTGACATGTTTAGTTCTCTGATATCCTGTTCTACAATACAGTACTTCCTTCCTAGAGCTATCAGTGTAAGTGATGCTCTCAGTTCACGCAACACCAGAGTACAACATGACAGTAGAGTTCAGATAGTGAAGAGTAAATATTTCATGTATCAATTGTCATGAAGATTTCTGCAGTTCTTCAAGATTACTACATTACTCATAAAATATAAATTAGTCTTCCTCACAACCTGCCTTCCCCACTGAAAAAATAAGTGAGGAAAGGCGTACAATTTTCAAGAAATGCAAATCTAATTCTACAGAAAAGTTTGCGCTATTTTTTTCTTAATATTATTATTTTAAAAGTTATACTTTATGATCCGTGACTGATGACCAGCTTTAACCACATCTTTCCAAGGCAGTATTTTGAACAGAATTCTTGACTGGTATCTTTAAACAAATTCAGAACTGCTCTAGTGTCTCTGAGTTAACCTCTCTCCACGCAACAAAAATGGAATTGGTTTTAAATTCTAATCAAAGTGATTTAGTATTAAGTTGCATGCTCTTCTATGCACCAGTGCAACTCCTTGCATACCGATTAGTCCCACTATGGAGGCATAGGCAACTGCAAAGGCAAAATATTGGACCAGTGAGCTCCTGAACTCAACTCCAGTGCGAAGAGAAAAAAAGGAAAGCTGGAAATCTTGCATCTCACCAGTACATTTACATGCACACAGGGATTTACATTTTTGATCATTTTATACATTTGTATCAACATAAGCCTGCAGCCAGGTTAACAGAGTGGAAGATTTATGGAGTATCACTGAAATGATTTAAAACTACCTCTTCCTTTAGAATTCTGTTTTCCTCATTTATGACACCCATAGGAAATTCTTCTGGGGCTTTTCTTCAATTTGTTTCTGTTTTACATATTTATTTATTTTTAGAAAGCTTTCATTCAGGGCTTTCTTAGAAGGATGGCTTCAGCCCTAACCACTGCATGCACGGCCACCCCATCCCAGCTTTATTACCTTGCTGATGCCACATGCCCACCCCTCACTAAGCCTCCTGTATCACATCCTTTTTCCCTCCAGCCCAGCCTACAGGCAGCACAAATATGCAACGGATATCTGCAGAAGCAAGCAGCTGGAAGATACATATAAACTTAAAACATAAGGCCTTTCTGATATGGCCTTTCAAAACAAGCAAGCATGCATTAAAAGTAGCAGGCACCCCCATATTTTTCCACAGATTTTTTTTTAAAGATGGAGGCTGGAAACAAAAGGCAAATTCCAGCACAGGCAAGTTGCTTGTGAGTGTGCTCAGTATGGGATGGTGTGGCAGCCAAGAAAGCTCCTGCTTCTCTCCATCACCCTCAGCCCTCTGC